GGAAAGAGGAAATGTTTCCTCTAAAAAGCATCTCTGAAATTTAAAATAGGTCTAAAATGGTTCCAGGGGTGAAGCAGTGGGAGAAGGAAGTACCAGGAGGAAAGTGAAATAGTCTTTAATTACCAGACTCTCACCATGTTGGTGCTGCCTCGCTTTTTAATTTCCTTGTGAAACAAGAGGGCTGTTACAGCCACAAAAGCACCCCAAAGATGCCCAAAAAAGCAGTGGAGTCATTTCTTGCAAATCTGGGCAGACATGCCTTGAAACAGTGGATTTCCAACTTCTTTTCTGGGGTAGAAACCAGCAGAATTGAGGTCTAACAAATAAAACAACCTGCAGTGAGGAAGCATTTGATGTGTCCCATGGAATTAAGCTCCTTTGTTCCCACCTGTCTTTGTCCTGGCTGCCCCATCCCTGGAAGTGTCCAAGGCCAGGTTGGAACACCCTGGGCTAGTGGAAGGGGTTGGAACAAGCTGCTCTTTTAAGGTCCCTTCCAACCCAGACCATTCTGGGATTCTGCAACTCCCACTGGGCTCATTTTGGTCACCCAAGGAGGACTGACAACAAACAGAACATTTGCTACAGCATTTAAGAGAACTTTAAGAGTTGACATCATGCCAGAAAACCCAAAAAAACCCTAGTGTAGTCCTACTTGGTCAGGTGCATCTGAAAGAAAGAACTGAATAATCAAAAAGCAAAACTTCCAGGGAATTTCATGTTATAATCAAAAGTTTCACCCTGGAAGAGCAGGTTCCTTTATCCATTTGGGAAAATAAAAGGAGATGGTGCCAAGGCTGATGGACTGAGGATGACAGCTCTGCTAAGGGATTCTGGGGCCCACCTGGTGTCCTCTCCATGCTCAGGCTTTCCAGGGAGACCAGGTGGGTGTAGCCAGGCTGTGTGGAGGGAGGATGTTCTTCCTGCCAGCCGTGGAGCACAGACTGGGGGCTCGTGGAATTGCCTTGGGAAGTTCAGCCAAATCCACATAGTGTTCGTGGGAATTGTCAGAAAAATCGGACAAACCATTTGAAGGAATTTGGAGAAGCCTTTGGATACTTGGGGAGCCAGATAAAAAACCCATTTTCTCCTGATCTGGGTAAACATATTAATATTTTATAGCAGCTGTCAGATGTCTTTTATTCATTTTTAATTCCTTATTTTTATTTTTATTTTTTCACATTTCCTGGACTTTCTGTGTTTAGGGCTTGCCTTTGACCCTACATGAACTGAAATCAAGCCTGTTGCTAATGAAGTATTTCCTATTGTGCCACTGCAGTAATTCATCCTCTGGGAAGAAACTAATCCTGGGAGATGCCCCAGGATGTTGCCTCCAAATTGTTTCAAGCTTGGCCTTGTCGTGGCTCATCTTGGTGAATGTTCAGGCTCCCTGGAGGGGTCATTAGTTTTGTTGCAGAAGCCCAGTTGGGCTGATGGGGGGAAAGGTGGCAGTGCCCATCTGCTGGATTTGATGGATTGCTCCTCTAGGAAATTGGATAAAAGGCCTTTTGATAAAAATTTTGGAGACACACCTTGAGCACCTGTTGTGTAAATCAGAATAAAGGCACACAGACACACTTCACTTGCAGCTCCTTTGTGGGGAGAGAAAGCAGGAGGAAAAGATTCCAAACTCATTCCCAACGTTTGGATCATCACTGACACCCTGAGAAGTTGATGCAACTTTATCCTTCTCTTTTATTTTCACACCCACTTCTTGAAACTCAAAAAGTCTCAGAAAACATTCAGAGCTCCTCCTGAACTGTAGGAATATTTATACTTAAGTTGATTCAGGTTCATCTTTTATTTATATGTGATTTTTTCCCCCCCTCTCCGTAATTTATTTATGATGCTAACAATGTTTTCTGGGGCTCTGAGATTTACCAAGTGTCAACGTCGTGGGTGCTGGGAGAACAAAATTGCCTCATGCAAATCTGGTGGATCAGAGCCAGTAAAACTCAAGGCACAGAGTGCTGCAAAAGTACCTGATATTTGCAGATATTTAATGCTAAATGCTGTTTTTTCCAGCTTGTTGTCTCCTTCAGTTACACATATCAAGATGATACTTTTTTTTTTTTTTATTTAAGGCAGCATTTCAAATATTTCAGCTATTTTGGGATTTTTCCGCTTTGCATTTTGTGGGTTTTTGTCTGGTTTTAAAAGCCTTTTTGTCAGGGATAGCTCTGAGGTGTCAGGAAAGGTTCCTGGATCAACCCTCTTGGCAGTGGAAGTTGGAGAAAAATAAAATAAAGTGTTATCTGAGCATGACTGACCCTCCACAAGCTGAGCCAGACTCTTCCACTGGGGATTTTAGGGTTTGCTGCTTTAGTGTTTCTCCCAGTTGGAGCGAAGTTTATCCATGGAGAAAATTGGTTGTGAGGAGAGAATAGGAAAAAAAATGAAGAGAAAAGGCTGTGAGGGGAAAAAAAAAACAGGGCAGTTTTCTGATTGACTCCTTGGGGAGGTTGTGGCTGAGCTGACACTTCAACAGCAATAACAGAGTGAGCTTCAATGCCTTGCCCAGGCCTAAGTCTTGCTTAACTTTTTTAATAAAAACTTAAGGATATCAGATAAACCTGTTAGTCCTTGCAGTGACTTTTTCTTCTGTTTCACTAGAGAAAGATTTATTTGCACTGCCAATAAAAAAAAAACAAAACACAGGGTTGTTTAACCCTGCCACATTTTCCAGAGCAAACCAAGCCCAAATTACATTTTAAGCCCTAGATCATGTCTTATGGTGATCCAGGAGGATTATGTTAATTAATTGTCTGAATATCTGGTTTTTAATTGAGCATTAACACCCATATCTTGCTTTGCTTTCACTGTTGCCTTGCAAGGGTTTGGCTTCAACCTCTGGCACATCCCTGGCACAGGGAAGAGAAACCTTGAGGTGTTGGATGAGCTGATTCGTTCATATTTTCACTGCTGGGCAAGGAGAATTTGGGGTTGAAAAGATGCTCTGGTGATTCACACATCTTAATATTAAAAATGTTCATATTAATAGTAACCAGCCTTGTTAAAAACCCCAAAGCAACTTCCCTGCAAGAGCAAAGGGGGCTTTGCCTTCTCTTCCTCAGTGATGAATTCCCGTTGCTTTCCTGGATGCCACAGAAATGATTTCCTCGATTATGTCCTTCAAAATGTAACCATCAAACAAAGTGGAAAGCTGGGGGGGATTTTTCCTGAGTTACAGGAAGCAGAAAATCCTGGAATGGGTCAGGTTGGAAGGGCCCACAGTGGAGCACCTGGTGCCACCTCCCTGCTCCAGCAGGGCCATCCCAGAGCACCTGGCACAGGAGTGTGAGGGGGAATTACTCAGGGAAGGCCCCTTTGCAGCAGCTCTAGATCCAACTCACTGTAAATCCCTCTCCCAACCATCATCTCTTGCTTCCTATGGGTAAAAAGTCGCTTTTCCCAGCTGCTGTTTTTAAAGCAAGATGATTTCCCCCCCTCTGGTTCTCCTGGGAGTCCTGTCCCTGTTCCCTGCGTGCACACGGAGTGCCTTCCATGGGATCAACCATCTCCTGATGCTGCAGGACACTTAAGTACCCACTTAAGCCTGTCAGCAGGTTTAATCTCCCTGGGCACAGTGTGGCTGGGACATGAAGGGAACATGAAGCCATCCTGGCTGACCTCCTGTCCCACAGGATATTGCCTTTCCCAGCTGCCCCTGGCTCAGCCTGCCCTGGATTTCCCTCACCTGCTCAACAGCATCAATTCTCTTTCATCCTGCAGCTCCTCATGGTGAATATTTCCATGTTAAATATTGTTCCTAAATTAAAAAATGTGGCCCTAAATGGTCATTTTAATTTTTTTTCCACTTTTTCCAGCTTTTCAGTTAATTTGTTTTCGACTTAACAGCCATTTCTGCTCTTCTGCTCTGTGTTTGGTGCCTCAGGGGTGTGAGGAACATAAGGCTGGAGGGACTGCAGGGTTTTTCTTTGTGAGGCCGTGACCTTAAGGCACAGCTCAGTCAAGAGGCTGTAGTTTGCAGCAGTTCATCCTTTCAAATTAGCCTGACTCTTTTCTCCTTTGGCAAGGGCTGCTTTCTTCCTTGGTTAAAAGGAAAACTGGTCTGTGACAGACAGGCTGGGAATATTGGAAATGTATAGTAGGGAATGAGCTTTTCACCTGGAGTATTTTCATTCTAGGTATCCACTGATATCAGTTCTTAGAATCATTAAAAATAATTAATTTCTAGTTTTTTGTTTGCCTGGGGCACTGTTTGGTATCACCACCAAGGACATAACAGTTGGATTTTTTAGAATCATGGAATCACACACTGGCTTGGGGTGGAAAGGACCTCAAAGCTTGTCTCCTTCCACCCCTGCCACAGGCAGGGACACCTTCCACTAGCCCAGGTTGTCCAACCTGACCTTGGACACTCCCAGGGATCCAGGGGCAGCCACAGCTTCTCTGGGCAACCTGTGCCAGGGCCTCCCCACCCTCCCAGGGAACAATCCCTTCCCAATATTCCCAAACCTAAATTTCCCCTCTTTCAGTTTGAACCCTTCGATGTGTTTTTGGGGGAGGGTTTCTCTTAAAGATGAGACAGAGGCAGAAATAAAGATTCTCCCTCACTTTGGAAGCAGGGGGATTTCTGGGGATCCTGGTGGGAGGACAGGGATCGGGGCTGAGGTGCCACCACCAGCCACGTCCACACACTCGCTCTGGAACTGCTCCTGGAGGGTGGAAAACCTCCAGCAGTCGTTTCAGGGGGCTGGAGGAATAAGTTTGGATCTTCTTGGCCTTGGTTATTGCACCTCCAGCATTTCTGAGGCCGCATTTCCCAGCCCTGGCCCTGGTTTGGTTGGTCGTGGGCATCGAGATGCAGCCCCTGGTTGCTGCCAAAGAGCCACGGGGGCTTTTGTGGCTCCCAAATGGACACTTCAGACATGGCGTAGTGGCAGTGCTGGGTTAGTGGTTGGACTTGCTGATCCCAAAATCCTTTCCAGACTTAAGGATTCTGCAGTTCTTCCCCTAAAAGTGCCCCTTTGTTTTTACAGCTCCTTCAAGCATCTCATCGGCGGCCTGGATGACGTTTCCAACAAAGCCTATGAAGATGCAGAAGCAAAAGCAAAGTAAGTGTCTGCTCCCTGTGTTCAGCAGAAAATCTTAAACTCATTTTTATTGATGGTACATCACTGTAATTGAAAAAAAAACCCTCCTTTTTCTCCACACAATATGTATAAGTGCTTAAAAAGGAGAGAATTATTGTGAATGTGGAGGTGAGTCTCCTCGGGTCAGTGCCCAGAGCCAGGCGGCCCCAAGGTCCTTCTTAATCACAGCATTTGAGTCCTCAGAAGTGCTGGGTCTTCCAAAAAATTCTCTTGAACTCTTGTAAGGTGAGAAACTCCAGCTCTTGGGATTGCAGTGGAGGAAATGGTCGTTGAGGATAATGGGTTTCTTCAGAGAGCTCTGCCCTTCCTCAGATACCTTCACGGAGTCTAAAGGTGGTTTGAGGCCAAGGGTGGGAAAGGGGGGCTGGAGGGTATTGTGAGTTTAAAATAGTTTTTAAAAAACCAATTTTCATTCATCCTTGACCTACGGTTGGATTTTAATCTGGAAGCTTCGTGAGGTCTGAACTCTGATTCCCTCCCAATGATCAAACCCTGGAAGAGGAATTAGAAGAGAGTTCTGATTAGAGAGATGCTGAACATGAGCCAGATAGGATTCAAAGGCAGGAGTTGCTAAAAAGGAAATTAAATCTGCTCTGTACAACATTTCTTTGCTTTTCCTCCTATGCAATTATTGGCTTTTATTGGGATTTTTTAGGGAAGGGAGAGTGTGACTGCTCATCAGTGATCTACAGCTGCCTAAATTTAAGCCTGCTCCTAAGTTCTACACAGTAACTTCTCATTAAACCAGAGAGGACTGTAATAGTCTGTACCAAAGGTACTCCTATGGAGAGAAAGTGAAAAGCCCTAATTGATTAAAAATACCTCTCTGTTCCTTTCAGAAACTAAATATCCATCTCAAGAAACTGAGTTTCTTGAGCAAAACCTGCTAATTCTGCAAAATACCCACAAGCTTCTTTTTTTATCGTCTTTGAGTGATGTTTGAAATGCGTTTTTAATGATATTAAATGTATTTTAAAGGTGCTAGAATGCAGGGTTGCAGTTTAGTTTGCAACAGGATTTCCCTGCCCCAGATCAAATGTGTAAGATTCCCTCTTAAAAAAGAAGTTCTGTTTAAAAAGCTTAAGTTCCCTAAAACTCCTTTATCAACTTCCTTCCTCTGCCATCCCAAAAACAGAGATTTTGGGCCCAGAATGCCAAGCCAAATGGACATGGTGCTATAGCAGTAGATAACTGGCTCTTAGATATTACTGATAAATATATATTATTATGTGTATTTTTATATATAGCTGAAATCATGGCATTTTAATGCCAGGAGCAGCTTCTACAAAGCATTTTACAAAGGGCTGGAAAATCAACTTTAGCAGCTTCAGGGAGATGGTCCCAAGTATTCCAGGCACGTGCTGTTATCCTTTGATATTATTTTTTGAGTGTTGCTATTTGGGTTTGATTGATTTCCATCAGAAGCAAAGGGAAGAAAACCTTGGCAGTGAAGCTGGGGATTTTAAGCTCTATTATTAATTATCACGGAGTTGTTTGCTATCCCGGGAATGTTGGGGGTGCAGATGGTATGGGAGGTTTTTTGAGGATTGTTTTGTGAGTTTTTAGGGATCACTTTGTGTCAGGATCCCCTGTGTGCTGGGGGGACACTGCAGCTGAGGACCTATTTTGAATAAACTCTTCATTTGGGGAACCCCTGGGCTGACTTTCACATCTCTGAGCTTTTATTCCTTTTCTTCTAATGCCAAGTATTTCATCCCAATGCAAGGGCAAAGCCAAGGATTCCTGGTGATGGTGGAATAGATTAATTTTGATACAGCTTTTCTTAAAAGCCAGAGGCCTTTGCTTGAGCCCTGTCACTCCAGGTAGGTGACAGTGGCATTATTGCCCTTCACATGTTGACATTTTGCCTTGGACAAAGCTGAAGGCACCAGTGTTTGCTGCCTGGAGAAACATCAAAGCAAGGAATGCTCTTGAAAAATGTGGCATTTACTAATAAAATACCATATTCACCTTTGCTGGGCTCCTTGAAAGCAAACCATGCCTGCAAAAAGATGGATAGAAGAGGGAAAAATGGCAAAGTTACTTGGAGAGTGACAATAAGAGGCCTTGGGAGCCATTCCAGGAAGTTTGGTCGCTCAGGAGTTAAGGAGAAAAGTCTCCTTGGCAGAAACTTTAACCTGGATTCCTTTTCAAGCAGCTGTTAATTAGCTCCAGCTAATTGTCCTTGGAGAGCTTCTTTTTTCCAAGGGGGAGTTTGTGGTAGGGAAGGACTTGGCCCGTGAAGCGTGTTCGGCTTTGGGGAGGTTTTACACCAAACCCACGGGTTTGTCCCTCTTTTTGCACCCTTGGAGCTCCTGTCTCCTGGTCAGAGCTCATGTGCTGGGGGGCAGAAGGCCTTGGAATGGGCAGGAATTTTCTGTGTCCCCTGTGGATCGAGTGGATCAGGGTGATCAAGGCCAGGCTGAACAGGACTGATCTCGGGGAAGGTGTCCCTGCCCATGGCAAGTGGGTTGGAACTAAATGATCTTTAAGGTCCCTCCCACCCCAAACCATCCCACGACTGTAAATACCTCCCAAATTGGTGGCACTGGGGGGGTTTGCCTCTTTCCACGCTGGAATGTGCCCCTGGGGTCACAGAGCTGGTAGGACATGGCTGAGGGGATGTCAGGCAGAAGCTCCAGGCTCAGAAGCTCTTTCCATGTGTCCATCAGTCCTCCATGTCTGACAGAGTTGAACTATTTATTGAGTTTATCTCTTGGTGACCTGGTGTTTTCCCAGCTAAGCCTTGAGGAATGGTCAGGGTGCTCCTGGGAGCTGGGGAATGATCTGTGGACCACTGAGCTGCCTCTTCCCACCCTTGGACATGGTTTGAAGGGAGAGCAAATTCCACTCGGCTCCTGAAGGCAGAGAAAATGCTGATCAAAAAGAGCTGAGCTGAGCAGAGGGGCTTCCTGCCCCACTCACTGGGAGTCCCAGAGGGACCAGGGCTGGGAGGGTTGTAGTCCTGTCTTTGTCCTGCATGGATGGTGTCTCCCTGTTCTGCATGGACACTTTGGATCGTGTCCTAGATCCCTGGCTCTTGGCTTGCACAGGCACCTGGAATGCCCAGCTCCAGTGGGAAGGGGACCAGGAGTCCCTGCCAAGCCAGTCTGGAAGGAAGTTGTTCTTCGAGGGCTTTGGCCTTCCCTCAAGGAGACACCTCTGTCTAGGAAAGCAAGTGAACAAACCCTGGTTTATCCTCCTGCTCACAGGGATTGTCTTTATGACATGAGCTTCCCCCAGCACCACAACTGATTTACTTCTTCCCCACTAATACCTTACTACCCAACTGATGCTTATTTTGGAGCCACTTTCCTGGTTTTTGCAAGCTTGGGAGGGGCAGTTCTCCTTCATGTCCATCCTTTGTGCTCACTCTCTTAAATCAGCAATCACTGACATGTCACCTGTGAGACTATAATTTTAATTATGGCCTATAATTTTAATTATAGGATCATACAGACTATAGCATTAATTATAATATTCTACTCCTCTGATGTATTCAGATGAGTTAATAAATTCATTGACTAATGAATGTTGTAGTTACATCCTTTACACCAGAGGAAAGGTGGAATAGAGAGGCAAAGGTGTGTCAGAGTCTGAGAAAAGAGGAGTCCAGAGGAGCAGTGCCAGGCCCAGCCCCGTTGGTATTTAGGGCATGAAGGAGATCCCTAAGTTATCAGGACACATATCTAAGTGTAGATCACTTCCAGATGGAGCCACTGTGGCACTTCCATAAATCCAGGAGGAAGCAGGTGGGTGGTTTCTCCTGCTGTTGGTGCCAAGTGAGGTGAGGGTTCAGCGAACACCCTTCTCTCCAGGCACACTAATCCCTCCTACTGGCCCATTCCCCATCCAGAGACTCCTGAGGTTAATCCTGGGCACTAATTTAACAAAGTCCTTGGAGAGGTTTCCCTCCAGCTTGGTGCCACCTTTCCATGGCATGGCTGGAGCAGGGAAGCGTCTCCCATGACACAGCGACAGCACCGACATGTCCCTGCCCACCAAGCTGGGAGAGGTGGCACTGCCTGGGCTTTGCCCATCTCAGCAGGGCCTGTCTGCTTCCATGACCAGTGTCCCTGTGCTCCTTTGCTCCCATCACATCCAGGATTCTGGAATTGTCTCCTGTGGCAACAGGGCTTGAAATGAATCCACTATTGCAGCCTGGACTCCGGTGCCTTCGTGCTGTTGCTCCAGGCTCTCTGCAGGTCCAGACTATTTTGGTCGCACTTTTTCCTTGGTTTTCTCCCCATTCCAGCTGCCTTGCAGCCCTGGGGGAATATGTCTTGTGTTGGCTTCTTTTCACAGGACTGAAGGAGGGCAGGGACCTTTGCGTAGGTACCCAATGCCTTTCCCCTTCCTGGCAGCTCCTTCCCTGGATGCCCTTCACCTCCCTGGAGCTGTGTTTTAATTAACACCTTCATTTAGCAGTTGCACTTGATGATCTAAGAGCTCTTTTCCAACCTTAATGACTCTATGATTCTGTCCAAACCTTTTGTTTCAGTGGCCTGAGTTGTCCCTTTTTTCACTTTACACCCCCTCTCACTCCATTCATAGCAAAGCCTCCCAGCAGTTCATTGACCTAATTTGGGTGGTTATTAATATTTTCCCATTTTATATGCATTCTTTATAGATAGTTTTTCTCCTTCTACCCTGGCTTTAAAGATAAAATTCACCACTCTGTTTAGTTTCTGCCATACCAGGATGTTTACAAGAAAAGGTATTTTTCAGTGCCCCTTCAATGTGGCTTCTCTGAGATGTTTCCTGGAGGGCCACTGCTGGTTCATGGAGCAGGTTTGTGTCTCCTCCTTACACAGCCTCTCCTTTGGTTTCTTTGAGACTTATTTTAACAGTTGAAGTTGCCCCTGGGAGTTGAAAGCTTGTCACCCATGGACAGGCCCAAGTGTTAGGAGGCAGCACAGATCCAGAGGGATGGATGTGTAGAGAAAGTGCTAAGGTGCCAA